ATTCTCTACCAGTCAACCGTTACGTTACAGTAAACAGAGAAAGCAAATGACGGTGCATTGTTTTAATATATTTTTTTTAATTAAATAAATATTTTGAGAGATAACAACAATTTAAAATAAATGTACATACAAATATATAAAATAATATATTTACAAAAATTGTACATACATAAATCACATATAATACATATATAACTATACATAGTACATATTAAAACGATAAATATAAAAATCATAACTAATTATATAATAGTATAGATTGAAGCTTTTCATTGTTTTGATAAATCGAAGTTAATATTCACGAAGGGACTTTTTGAAATAAAATACATTGTATGTATTATATAATTTTTATATCAAAATGGACACGTCTATAACTGTTTATCCAAAACAATTTTCAAATTTTTACATTTCTGTTTTTTGCCAAAAGTTGACTGGGAGAGAACGAAAACATATGGCATTAAGCCCGCATTTTGTATCAAACATTTTTTCGTAACGTGATCAATAAAGACTAAATAAATAATAAAAAATACAAACGATTTCATCAGATAGGAATGTCAGCTACATTCCCATCTGATAAAATGGTAACCGCTGTCTGTAAACATTTTGTTTTAAATATACGTAGCAAACGAGCATGCAGATCACCTTAAGTGAGTACCGTCACTCATCATCAGCAGCGCACCTGCAACATCAGAGAAATTGCAGGTGCGCTGCTGGCCTTTTAAGAAGGAATATATGAATATCTTTTCTTGAAGGTTATGATATAGTATCGGTACGGAAATACTGCTACTGTAAATTGATTCTAAAGAGTGATTGTGAGTGGAAGAAAGTGCTTGAAAAACGGCAACCCTTACAACGTACAAACTTTTTATTTTTTATTTTTTTAATTTATACAACTTAGAATGGCAAACAAGCTGACAGCCCACCTGATGGAAAGTAGTAACCGTCGCCTATAGACATGAGCAGTACCATGGAAATAACAGAGCATACTGTTTCGCCCATAATATGCGTTGCCTTTCCTGAGGATTCAGGTGTTTCTTTTTAATAGGTGAAAATGGATTGGTAACCCCGCCCGCGCTATTGGTATACGACGACGATGCACCAGTGGAAGATGATAGGTGAGAATGAATGCAGCTTAGTTGGCCCACCATGATGAATTCGACAAGAATTAAATATGATGGTTTCCAGGGGAAACCGCGTGGAGGTCAACCTGAGAGGGTATATTGCCAGTAATGGGGCTATTAGACCCCATAACTAACAATCCCTTTCCCCCGAATTCAGGTGTTATTCCTCTGTACCCAGTAAATTCACGCCATATCCCACCCTTCAAACCGAAACATAGCCATGCAAACACAACTGCTACACGATAGAAACACGAATAGGACAGAGGTACCCAAGCAATTGACTTTTCTACAAAGTCTGTCTCTGATGAGATAATATAACTTACAATAATCGTGAATGCAAACGTAAATCTTTGTACAATTCACACTTGGCACATTGTATTATCAAATTCACGGTCCCTTCCGCTTACAATGCAATGTTATGTTTTAACTTTCATTAATATAATATTATTTAGTGATGTACAGTTTGTTTGTTTTGCACAATATCACGTAGGCGGTGACGATGCGCACTGATACGTGATATAACACAAAAACACTGATTAAGCGTTATTTTATTGTTATGTATTTACGTATTTTCTTATGTATATTGCGTCAATTATATACTTTATCATCATCATCATGTCAGCCGTTAACTGTCACCTGCTGGGGGGAAAGGGATTGTTAGTAATGGAGACTGAGAATCTCATTGTTAGCAATATACCCAACCAGGTCGACCTACTCGCGATTCCCCTTGGAAACTATCATGGTTAATTCCTGATGACTTCATCATGTTGGGCTAACTGGCCTGTTTTTATCCTCATCGATCACCCTTCACTGATGCCCCGCCAACGTATCCCGTTAGCGCAGGCAGTTAACTCCGTCAGTTGTAAACCGTTCTAGATTTTTTTTTCTTCTAAAAGACTTATATATTAAATTTCTTTAGCACCGCATAAAGATGTTAACAAAATCGGTGCCTGTAGTTTAATTTTTTTATTGTAATAATCGGGTTTACCACAATTGATGTTGGTTTTTCTTTTGTAAAACACAATCTTAATTATGTATACATAAACAGGAACGAGAGATACCGGGAACCGTTCAGGTTTAGTTGGAATTTCCGTCTTGTTTACACTATACACATGTTATATTGGTTTAAAATATGATTCACTAAACATGAATATGATCATAATTGGCAATTTATTAATAACTAGCTATATAATTTTACTAGAGATAGACTTAAGAAAGTCTTTTTTTTAATGGGTAATTCAATTCAATTCAATCATTTATTGCTATTTCATGTTGCAACAATATAGGTCTTAAGTTATTAAAAGTAAAAAATCAACGTGAACCCTGGAAGGGTACAGCAATCACATTAATAAATATTTCATAAAGTACATAACTACATTTTTATATTATATATATGTATCGTCGATTAACATAAAATAAATAAAACATTGTTACATTGAAACAAATAGGTACAAATACAATAAAATTTTCTCATTGAAAAATTCTTGTAGTGTATAATAACTTTTTGTAATTAAATATTTTTTTAGAGCTATTTTAAACTTAATAGAATTGTAACCCCGTCTACACTGTCGGTATCCGCTGGCGGGGCAACAGTGAGAGATGAGGATGAAAGCAGGGCAGTTAGCCCATAATTCATAAAGAATAAACCAAGATGGATTTCAGGGAAAACCGCTTGGAGGTTGACCCCGGTCCTGTTAGATCTCGGTTACTAATAATCTCTTATGACCAGTCCAGTCCAGCAGACTTATGAAAGTGATCTACATAGGTGCTTCTAGCCTATTCGTGTTTCTGTAAACGCAAATGAAGTATGTAAAACATGCACCAATTTTTAAGTAAAAGCTTCAGGCGTACAATTGTAAAAACCGCATCTAATAGGTAACGACGAAAACAAGTCACTTAGCCCATCGTAATGAATTCCACAAGCATTAATCACGATGGTTTCCAGGGATAACCGCATGAAGGTCGACCTGATAGGGTGTATTGCTAGCAATGGGTCAATTAGATCCCATTACTATCAATCCCTTTCCCCCCAGTGCAGTTAGGCTTTGGAGATATTTTAAGAGGAACGCTGCTGCTCATAACTCTTTTTTTTATACCACTGAGGTGACAAACAAGCATACGGCCCACCTGATGGTAAGCGGTTACCGTAGCCTATGAACACTTGCAATACCAGAGATATTACGCGCGCGTTGCCGACCTTGAACAAACCTCTTTACCCTCCTTTTTTCTTTACTCGCCTTTCCTTAGTCGCCTCTTACGACACCCACGGGAAAGGAAGGGATGGCCTATTCCCTATTCTATGCCGGGACCACACGGAATAAGTATCATAATTAATATTTAAGTAATAACTAAGATTAGTAAGACAAGATGACATACTGCAATTTAGTATCAATAAAAAACATTAAACATAGGTGACGATTGCAAGCCGAGTGTTCAGAATGGCAACATATTTACACTATGAGCTCATCCAGGAGATTTGTTTTCACAAACAATGTACTATAACAAACATGAAACCACCGGTGCAGATGTTGTATAAACTATGACCTCTTTTTTTTTCAAAACATAACACCTAGATTGTTACATGGATGTATGTAATAAATGTGCAGAGATATGCAGTATGTTACTTGATTATGCTACTTGTTATTAAAATCTATTATACAAAAAAGTTTGCTGTGCGGTCCCAGAATAGAATAGGCCACTTCTTCCCTTCCCTTGGGTGTTGTCAGAGATAATTAAGAGAACTTAATGGTCGAAATATGAGTAGCAGCGTCCCTCTTTAAACAAAGCTTAGCTACCTTTGCTAACTCTGGTATATTTTATACCAATAATAATAGTAAATTAGAAGGTCAAAGAAGTTAACTTCTTCGATCCTCTAATTACATAGTTTTTTTTTGTCGTCGACATTGTTGACACAAATCCGTACTAGTTTTTATTTTGGTAAAAGTTGAAAAAGTCGTATCGTTTTAAAAAAGAAAAAATTAAAAGTAACTTTTGGTTTATTTACTGTTGAAGTTGTCTGTGATTGATCAAGAACTCACATGATAGAAAATGACAATGTGGTCTAAAATTGAGCTCGAATGGCCCACGAATTGCCTATTCTTATTTGCATTAAATTTGTCTAGATTAATGTATATATGGTTGGTAAAACTATTGGATCTGGCAATCCTGACTGACCCCGACATACGACACGTAGCAAAGAAGGTGTTAATTCAAATTAAATCCACTGTTTTTTTCTTCATTCACAAAATAGATATAATTACAATTTGAAAATTGTATTACAGTAATGAATATAATTTCTGAAATATAATTTTCGTATTTCAACTATATGTAATTCTATAATAAATTGCCAATTGTTTAATTATAAATAAATATTTACCGAGAAACAATATGCGAGTGACGTTTGGACGTTCCAGTACAACGGCTAATCACGTATCTCGCAGTACTTCTACCATAAAAGCTATAACACCGTCTCTTTGTGACTAATTTAATTATAATAAATCCTTAAAAGAAACTATAACTTAAGCTAAGTTTCCCAAAATAAATATTTTTAGTCATTTATTTAATAATAATCACTAGGACCTAGGTAACTACATGTTATACAAAGTTATGAGTAACACGAAATACGCGAACACATGTTTGGTTAATATTATAAACCACGTGTTAGTATAAATGAAATAATGTAAACAAAAGATTGCATCATCACCGGCAATGTAGTTGTTAATTGTCCGCACATTCTAGAAGTTGTTATAATTTATTGTTAAAAGAATTTGCCTTAAATGAATTTCGACCGAAATTATACAGGCAGACGTTTTGACTCGCAAAGAAATATGACATCAAAGGCTAACAAAATTAAAATGTATTTCTCTTTTGTTGTGACAGGGTCCGGAGCCGGCACTGAACTCAAACCCTGGTGGCGCCGCGAAGCCACCGCTACTCAACTCATTCGAGCTGGACCGCTGTCTGGACCGGTATGTGGATACTGTGTTAACTTTATAACCCTGAAGGGAAAGAGATGGTTAGTAATGGAAACTTGAGATCCCATTACTGGCAACGCACCCTGTCAGTTTTTTTAATGGGTGATAATGGAATGGTAACTCCGCCCGCGCTATTGTTATACACCGGCGGGGCACCAGTGAAGGATGATAGGTGAGGATGTAGCAGGTCAGTTAACCCATCGTGACGAATTCAATAAGAATTGTTCACGATGGTTTCCAGGGGGAACCACGTGGAGATCTACATAATATGGTATATTGCTAGCAATGGGACTGTCAAACTCCATTGCTGACAATCTCTTTTCCCCCCACCCTGTCAGGTTGGCTCGGTCATCCATAGTGTTTAATTTATACCAGATACCATATCGCCAAGATGGGCCAACGGTCAACTAACCTTTATGAGAACATGGGGTTGTTAGTAAAGGAGTCTATAAGTCCTAAATGCTAGCAGTATACTCTATTGGATCAACATCCACGCGGTTCCTACAGGAAACCATGATTAATTCCTGGTGAATTTGTCACTATGGCCCAATTGATCTGACTTCATCCTTATTTATCCTTCTTTAGAGCCCCGCCAGTATATGCCCATAGTGTAATCATAAGGGTTCATGCATTTCCGCATCTTTCCGTTTTCATCCTTTAAAAAGTGACCTGAGTTCATTCTCATTTCATTGTTCACTGATGCCTTGCTATTGTATACCGATAACTTTGATGGGTACACCACTCCATCTGTTAAAGGAAACCCTTCGAGAATTTTTTGTAATTTACTGCATAAATATTTCTGTCTCAATCATAGTTCTTTCGGTAAATACTGTGTGGTTTTTTATTCCCGATAGGGAAACTGATAGAGTTGATAAGGATGATACCGGTGAAGGATTATAGGTGAGGATGAGATCGGATAAGTGGTAAGCGAATCCATCGATGGAATCATTGTTGCTAGTGAGTCCATGAATGAATAAAATGGTGAGGTTCTGTATTATTCCAACTCATGGAATCGCATTTGATAAAGAAGTTCCTTTCATGGATTCTCTTGTCATATGTCAAGATGGCTAAGTCAATTGGTTTATCTTGTGATTCAACAAAAATCAATCACGATGGTTTCCTGGAATGCCTGTGTCAAGGTCAACCTATTTATTTAGAAATAAATAATATGTTAAGTATATTGCTAGCAATAATCACTAATTTTCATTACTAACAATCTTGTCCCTTCAAGCAACTGAATTTGTATGGCTGTTCTTCTTTAAATGAAACATTTATATACGACCATACAGCTTACCTCATTTTAAGTTAATGATCACAGCAGGCTCTTAGACACTAGCAACATACGAGAAGTTACTGATGCGTTGCTGTCCTTTTAAATTAAAATAAACTTTTTTTTCTAAAGGTTTACATGTAAAATCGCTACTACGATTTGATTTTTCCTCATACCGGATGGAAAAGTAGTACTTGTAGACCTTTGTAAATTATTCGTATAATATTTTTTTTACAGAGACGAGTCCGGCAGGTGGGGCGGCGACGCGGCGCGGCGACGCCGACGCAGCTCGCCCCCGCGCCGCGCCTCGCCCCCTCGAGACCATGAGCCTCTTGCACTTGCACGGGTAAAAATTGGACAATGACCACTATAATTCTAGTAATATTATGATTTTTAAAATTTGTAAAGATGGACGCTTGATGAATAATTGGATGTTTGACGAAAAAGAAAAAATACAGATGGCTACAAATTAACTGTATTATCAGTTTACCAACTTTACTAATGATAAGACAGAATCCATTTGAAATTCTTTAATTATTTATTTTGTAACTTCTAAAAAATGTTTTTATTGGTTGAATGACGAATTTTTTGTAAAAAAAAAAATCCAAGATAATCACAACTATCATCTTGGTTAATTCAAATATAACTGTGCACAAAAAATTATTGGAAAAGCTTGTATGCTTTCTGTTTTTTCTATTGTCAGAACAGTCATATGTCTTTTCTGTGCAGGCGTCAGCGCCAACATCCCCCGCGGGTGGTTCAGCACAATCCAGCCCTGCCCCAGGCTCTCCCGGGGGCAGCGCAGGCGGTGCTGCAGGAGCTAGATCTCCACTTCCACTGGTGCCACCAGACCTGCTAGCCATGCAACTGCTAGACCAGCACTCGCAACTGCAAGCGCTGATGAAGCAGCGATTGTTTCATCAACATCATATGCAGAAACAGGTATGAAATAATATTGGATGAAAGAATGATGAATTCAAAAGTAGAAGTATGCCAAAGGACACTCAGACTAACCTATTATATTACAATCAGATAAACTGTGAATTATTTTTGATGAGATTCAAAGAATTCCTGAAAGGAGTTAAGGGTATGGATTATGGATTAATGGATAATGCAAAAAATTATGCAAGGAAGTAGCATACGATATTTAGTTCTATGTCTATCCCACAAGGGATATGGTGTGAAATCAGACATAAAATGCCATTAAATTAACAAAAACTATTTTGCCCCCAAATTATGGCAATAATAGACCTGTATAAAGGCATTGATTATCCTGCAAAAGTTACAGGAACCGTATGTAGTGTATTAATCGATTTCTTGTAATATTTGAAGGTTCGCATTATTCTAAGCTTTTTATAAAATCTCGCTTGACCAGAAATAACTCAGAAGTTCAGAATTATTGTTAATGACGATCTTTAGGAAAGGTAACTTAAGAAAAGAGGCTTTCACAATTATAGGAAGTTTTTATGTCATCATTTATTTATTTACAGCATATGTCTTCGGAGGCGGCAAAACGTCAATTGGAGCAATCACGGCTTCAGGATCAGATCAACTTGAATCTGCTATCACAGTCTCATTTACCACCTCCTGATACCTCACCTGGTGAGTTATTTCAGCCGTTAACTGTCCACCATTGAACATAGGTCTCCTCCTCCAAAGGAAGAAAGGGGGTTTGCCAGTAATCGCCACGCTTGGCAGACGGGTTGGCAACCGTAGTCAGGCTTTTGGTGTTGTTTTTACGCTACTGCCCATCCCTCAACTTTTAGAAAAATGCGCAGAAAATTGGAAAATTTCGAAAACTTAAAGGCTATTTTAAGTTCGCGCATATAATAGAACAACGTATGTTGAGTCAGCTAGTTGTATTTTATCTATTACTTAGATCCGAATGCAATTCTAGCTGAAAAGAACGTCCACGAAACTGAGCTTTTGCTTTTTTAAACAAAAGTTGAGTTTACAAAAAAAAGTGATATGATAAAATGACTATCACAAACTTCATATTCATAAAAATTACGATCGATCGCAGTATTCTTGAACAGACCAGTCCCTACTAGACGCACCCGTTCACGAGTATGACGGATGGCTCGTTGTTTAATTGTTTTCTTTTCGCTGATGAACCTTCTTTTTCAGGATCTCTCCAGCAACAACTGGGCGCTCAACAGCAACAACTAGTACAGCAGTTGCAGGCAGTGCAACGCCAGTATCTGATGCACGGGTCCCTCCCTGTACCGCCCAATGCTCCACCTGGTAATTGATATTTATGTTAACATTAACAGGTCTTTTATGGAAGTGAGAAAATAAAACATTTTAAAAATTTTAATTTGGCGTCTATTACGCGTTTAGTCCCTTATTAAGACCTTTATATAATTGTTTTTTTTAAATATTACCCATGTCTAGTTACAATTTTATTATATTAATAAGATTGGACAACGTTTGTCGGATTAGTGTTTATATGTGTGTGTGTCGCGTGCGTGTGTGTGTGCGTGCGTACGTACATGCGTGTACGTGCGTACGCGCGCGTGATGTTGCGTGTGTGTGTGTTTGTGTGAATGTGTGTGCGTGTGCGTGTGTATCAGGAAGAATAATATATTTCGGTTCACATATTGAAATATTATAATTTTGTAGGTCTAATGTTATGGGGTGGTGAAATCGAAGAGCATCCTTTGTTTGGACGAGGTGTCTGCAAGTGGCCGGGCTGTGATGCACTCGCAGAAGATTATCAAGCGTTTCTCAAGTAAGTATTGTAATTAAATAAATAAATACAATTTTGTTATACATATGTTACACAGCACCATCTAGCTTGTACTATGAATATAATAACAAGAAAAAAAAAATAAAAAAAATGGTAAAAACTTTCGATTTACGATAGAAAATTTGCCAAAAAATACCATTCCCACTTAAGTTTACACAGCAAAAAAATCTAAAATAATTTTAATATTTATATATATCACAGAAAAGATACTCACACCTGACTGATTTTCAACCGACTTCAAAAAGAAGAAGGTTCATAAATTCAGTTGTTTTTTTTTCTATGTTTGTTACTTTATAACTCAGTCAATTGTAAACCAATTTGAAAAAATATTTTTTATCTGAAAGGATATAGGTACTTATTTAATATACTTAATTTTATCAAAATCGAAGCAGTAGTTTAGTTTTCAAATTAAAATAAATTATTTTGCCATAGTCGACTTTTTTTGTGGAATGAAAATATGGAACAGTCTTAATTATTTTAATTTTCATTTACTGATAACTGGGAATTCAGAATATCATTGTTTTTAAAACTTTTAAAAATTATATATTGTTTTTTCTTTATGCAACTTTGAATAGCAAACAAGCTGACGGCCCACCTGATGGAAAGTGGTGACCGTCGCCTATAGAAATGAGCAGTCTATATACCATAGACATAACAGAGTATACTGTTTCACCCATGATACCTCCCATGCGTTACCATTCCTGAGGACTAAGATGTTATTGCTCTGTACCCTGTAAATTCGCTGTCTGTTTAATTTTTTTTATTTTTCTTAACAGAAACATAGTGTTCACAACCTAATTTGGTAAACTATTTGTTAAAATTTAATCGTTCTTTTTTTCTGTAACCAGTTTCATTATCATACAATTGTTTTATTTGTCATTAGATTTTTATTTTAAAAATCAGTGCATACAATATGTACATAATAATATGTCTGCGACCTTTGTCAACGATGCAAATTTATCTATATTTATCAATAACACGCATGATAGGACAGAAGTAACCAGCTAGGAAGATTTGCTTTACAAAATAATACATAGACAGGTAAATCATAAATTTGAAACATTGCAGATTTAGAAATTTAGAAATAATACAAATTAAATAAACATAAATTAATAGTGACATGAATGTGAAAATCCAAAATGATAAATGTGAACACAAAAATTCAATTATTGAATTAATACAAAAGCTTATAAAGCGTTAAGAGGTAACAAATATACTCGTTTGTAATATTAGTAAAGATAATCATCATTATTTCAGCCATTATCCGTCCACTGCTGGACATAAGCCTCTCCCATAGACTGCCATAAAGAATGCAGGACCATTCTTTATAGCAGTCTATGGTCTAGTCTATTGCTACCTACATCCACTGACTCCCTGCATTGCATTTAAGGATAATACCATACTAAAATAAGCAGTTATTGTCAAAACGTGTGACATCTTTTTTTTCTTAAAGCCTTTTACCTTCTATAGGTTTTTTTTTTATTGGGTGATAATGGAATGGCAATCCCACCCGCGCTATCGGTATACACCGGTGGAGCACCAGTGAAGAATAATAGGTGAGGATAAAACAGGTTAGTTAGCCCATCGTGACGAATTCAACAAGAATTATTCACGATGGTTTCCAGGGGGAACCACGTGGAGGTCGACTTAATACAGCATATTGCTAGCAATAGGGCTGTCAAACTCCATTGCTAACAATCCCTTTCCCCCTTCTTTAGGTATTAGCCCAATCGTACCCTGAACTGATTTCTCAGATAAGATTTTGTCCACTTTCCCTACTCATGGAAAATGAGGTATTAATGGGTGTCAATAATTTAGTTTAGAGAGATCTTTAATTATTACCGGTAATCTTACCAGACATTTGGAAGCTGCACATACTCTGGACGATAGATCTGCAGCGCAAGCGCGAGTCCAGATGCAAGTGGTAGCACAACTGGAGTTGCAACTGCGTCGCGAACGCGACCGCCTCGCCGCCATGATGAGGCACTTGCACGCAGCCAGGGACACCTCGCACCATGCCGCTAAACATCCTCACGGTGAGACTTTATAAATTTATTTCAATAATCCAAAACACTTACATAGACTTAAATTAGCAAGTAATAACAACGTTAAAGAAAATATAGAAAAAAAAGTTTACATTTATATTAAAATCTAGTTGAAATCAGCCAGTGTTGTGGAAATGAAAAAGGATGCTAATTAAGCTTAAAGTTCTTGCAGAAGCAGAAACGCTGATTTTCAATTAGCACCCCATCACTTAGCCCGGTCCTGGATGGATTGATTATAAATTAACATTTAGAATTTAAATTTACTATTCTGTATTCTAGAAGGCTCTCTAAAAGTAGATAAAATGAAATTATCAGGATACTAAGATATGTGTTTAGGAATAAAGGATTTAACTATAGATTATATAGATTTATTTATTTATTTATAAATTACTCACCGCACTTATAGTATATTTATTTAATATATCAATACCTGGCTGCTGAGCAATCAGAGAATTGAGCAGAGAAATAGCCTGTAAAGTGGGAGCAAACTGAGCAGTACAGGTGCGAACCGGCGGTGCCGATAGTAATCAACAAGCACGCAATCGCATGCAGCGTTGGTGTGCGTACAAAGAACAACGGCTAAAAGTTGCAGGATTGTCTATTCCGCCGTTGAGCAACCGATAATAGTGCATCATCCAATTACACTTTCGCCTTACCTCGAGCGTTTCTAGACCTACCATACTGGATACGAACAGTGATGGGTACAAAAAAGGATAGTACCCGTAAAGTTTACTATATAGAACCTCGAGTATCGAGATAGATAAAGCATCGAGCCTCAAAAACGGATCAACTTTTAATCGGCTGATTGTCAAATTAGCTGACTCGTTTTTTTTTTGTCAGTGTTCTATATACTTATGCTTAAAATGTATCTTGACGTAATATTTAATAAATAAAATTAGTGTTTACAGATTAAAAAGATGTAAAAATTATAAGACAAAATAAATATAGAAGTTATAAAGGAAATCACTCATAACTAAATATTTATCACGCAAAATTGTATGAAAAAGTTGTCTCGTTTTTCTCGAAGCATTTGTATAGAGACACTCTATTTAAATAATCTAAGGATTTAACATATAAGAAATACCATGGGTATCTTTGAAGTCTTATGGTGCTGTTCATGTTTATAGATGACAGTTACTATCAGGTGAGTCGTCTGCTCTTTAACCATTTTAAATTGTATAAAAAAATGCAAATATAAAAAATGAGACTATTCCAAATTAAGACATTTTTACCTCACTTTCAGGTACTACTAGTGAAGGTGCTTCTCCGGGGCCAGTTCGACGTCGTGTCTCTGATAAATCTGGTGTTGCTATTGCTGGAGGTACTACAATCTTATCTTTTATTATTTCAGTATTAGTTATTGCAATTTTTATTTTAAATTTATATTCATTTATATATATATTTGTTTAACTAAACATCGGAAATTTAGTGAGTTTTCTATTTACGTCACTTTGAACAATTATTTCGACTTTATTAAGGTCTTCTTAAGAATGAGTACGATGCCTATATCTGAATATCTTTCCTCGCATTGTTTACAATTTTTGCAATGATTTATTCCAATCTTACGTAAATATTAAATAATAAAAAAATTTAAAGGAAATGAAATTAAATTAAATGAGTTTATTTGCATTAAACAGTTAAAAATTATTACAAGCCACGTGGTATTATTTTGGCACCTGTTTAATTGCCTTAAAAGATGTAGGCATGCAAATATTTTAAGAAGAAAAGACGTATATAACTTCATAAGATCATCATCATCATCCAAGTTTTTTTTTTAATACAACTTAGAATGGCAACCAAGCTGACGGCCCACCTGATGGAAAGTGGTAACCGTCGCCTATAGACATGAGCAGTACCATTATCTGTCAACTACTGAACTTGATAAAATGCTTTTTGGATAAAATGTTTGTTTCTGTCTCAAAGGTCTTCCCTATATGCTCGAAAGAGCTGGACTAGATGTTCAACAAGGTAAATTAATTGTACAGTATCATCTATTTATAGGACCTCTTTAGTTTTAGATTAGACTATATGGTTTATTTTAGCTATATGATATACTGTATATTTTACAGAGATTCAGCGTAATCGCGAATTTTATAAGTCTGCTGATGTAAGACCTCCGTTCACTTACGCATCGCTGATCAGACAGGTGAGTTGATTTCTAATTCAGATTTTTATCTAGCTTTTGATTAAGTAAACCATTTAATAATATATATATATATATATAGACGCTACTGCCCATTCCTCGACCATAGGCTCTTTTAGTCACCTTTTATGACACCCAAGGAAAAGGAAGGGGTGGCCTATGTCGGGACCAACGCAGCTAATTTTATTAGAATTTTGTATAATTAATTACTTAATTATATATTTCTTATTGTTCTAGGCTATAATAGAATCTCCAGACAAGCAATTGACTCTGAACGAGATATACAACTGGTTCCAGAGCACGTTCTGCTACTTTAGACGTAACGCCGCCACATGGAAGGTATGTTTTTGTACAATATCATTTTACTAAATGATTTTACTATATTTAGTATAAAAATAATAAAATGACTTATTTTATACACAATTAAATTATTAAATAATAAAATAACTTAATTTATAGAAAAGTAAATTATTAAATAATAAAATAATTTATAGAAAAGTAAATTATCAAATAATAAAATAATTTAATTTATAGACAAGTAAATTATTAAATAATAAAATAATTTAATTTATACATAATTAAATTCATCTTGGTTTATTTTTGTAATTATGAAATTTTTGAGACAATAAAAAATAAATATTGGTAAGTAGTTGCTATATAGGAATTTAAAACTTAAATGATAGCTAACACATATCTATTTTTAATCGTTATATTCGACTGATGTAACCAAATGGAAAGGTAATATTAGATTTCCGTATTATTTTAATTATCAATTCATTTTTTTCATTATCTACATTTTAAATAGCATAAAAAATTTAATAACTTTGATTCCTATTAGCCGATACTGAAAGAAATGAATATTAAATAGTATGTATGTGTATTTATTTTATGCTTAATATAATACAACATAAGTTGTTAATGCTTTAGTATTTATAGGTATTTAGCTAATAATACAGTAATAATTATAATTAAGGGAGTTGTACATTGACAATTGTTTGACATTACTAAATTGACATTTGTAATAAAAAATATTTAATCTATGAACAAGGAATTACATAGAAGGAATGATATAATAAAAACTGTAAATCATATGGTCGCCTTCTTTCTTCTTATGCAAATATAATTAGTAAAACGAAAAAAAAAATGTGTATGTAAACTTTTTGTTCATTTACATTACTATACGATTATATATTCGACACAGTTCATGTAGAAAGTATGCAAGCAGGTTGTATCTGAATTTGGTAGGGTTATACGGCCGTATAACATTTTCTGTACACTAGCCTGCTATGAATTGAAAAAAATAGCAACTGATAGTGTGTGTATCTTTCGTCCTCTTTTTACTAGTTATATTTGCCTAAAAAGAGGCAACCATATGATTTACAGTTTTTATTTTATCATTCTATGTAATTCCTTGTTCTTAGTTATTTAATGTCATCAATCAAAGTACACAACTTTGAAATACTCTAATGGTCAATGTAAGCCGATAGACGTCAGTATTGACACTCGGGGCCGTGTACGTCGTCACATCGTCACACCGGTGACCATTCACGTGTTAGACGACCAGTAGGGAGCAAATAAATACTAGAATAGTACGAAACAGAACGCAGTGCGCCACAACCTGTCGCTGCACAAGTGTTTCATGCGGGTGGAGAACGTCAAAGGAGCTGTCTGGACCGTCGACGAGGTGGAGTTCCACAAACGCCGACCGCAACGCGCCGCGCACGCGCCGCCGCCGCTGCACGCCGGGTACCGCGCCCGCCCTCAGACCTGTTCTATACCTCTGCAGCTCTACAGCCTGCGCCCGCGCACCTCCACACCACGCCACGACACACAGCCTGCACACTCTGTGTCTCCACTTACGACAAAACACACTGTATACACATTAGTACACATTGTATACACATACAACCTGTTCTATATTCATAACTATGACAAAACATATACAACTACGTACATGAACGACAACGTAATGTGCATCATATTACACATACAAGAATACACTTCAAAATATTACAAAGTACACATGTTACATATTATACATCTTTCAAATATACAAGACAATATAAAAATTATTTGCATCAATATGCACGTTTAAGCATTTCAAAATAATGTAGTTGTATTTTAATTGTACAACACAACACTGACATAAACATGTACACATACAAAAGATACAACTTAAAAAGTACACATCCATCAATACGTAATCCATCCATCCATTCATATTCTATATGCACTTATCACAAAGTTATTTACTTTCCTAAATACTCAATTGTACACTGTTCAAAACTTACTTGTATCAAAACATTCACCATCGTCACCATTACGTCACAAACACATAAATTCATACATCCAATATACAAATTTTTACTCTTGTTTCCACAGATGTAAGTCAAATACATTATCATTTTTCCAAAAAAAAAAAAAAACAAACATATCACCACCAAATTTAGATTATCTTTTTCTAAAAAAAATTTTTACTAATACATTATAAATTAACTACAAATTTTTAGGCCATGTCTACTCTGATCAATTTCAATGGTAAACAACATAATGCATATACTATTATTATTACAAATGGAACATCACCAGAGAGAAATTTTATACAAACGTCGGTTGCTTGGGCACCTCTGTCCCATTCATGTTTCTTCCGTAAAGCAGTTGTGTTTCCATGACTGTGTTTTGGTTTGAAGTGGTGGGATATGGCAGTAAATTTACAGGGTGCAGAGGAATAGAACCCGAGTCCTCAGGAATGGCAACCCATGAGAGGTATCATAGTCGAAATCGTATACTCTGTTACGTCCATAGTACTGCTCATGTCTATAGGCGACGGTCAACACTTTCCTTTAGGTGGACAGTCAGCTTGTTTGCCATTCTAAGTTGCATAAAAAACATATCTATGTCCATAATATTAATTAGTATGCAGTTCTTTTACATACATAAACATAATATATCAAACACCAGACACCTGTACAATTCACAATACTGAATATTCTATCAAATAAACATTAAACAAGTCATTGCATACATTTTACATGTAATTTATTAAGTAACTATTCACACGGTACGTTGATAGCCAACGCCTTTATCGTATATACCTAATACCTTAACACATAGTACCTTAACACCTCACAGAATAATATACATAAAATTACACATTACTTGTATGATTTAATTATTTTACATTTGCAGTTACATGTAACAAAATATAAACATTCTAATAATTGTCCAGAAATACAAAAACAATGACAATCAAAACTATTCTATGATTAACACCTATAACAAAACATTGTGGCACTAACAATAGCACTTACATGAAAATTATACAAACTATATAATTCATACAATTTGTATACACAAACGCAAATTTCAAAACTTGAATAAACTATATTTGTCTAATTTAATACAAAACTAATACTAACTACTGTACAAAATGACACAAATTAAATACATGAATCATATGAACTACACTAATTCATACAATTTGTGTACACATACAGAAATTTCAAAACACGAATAAACTGCACCTAAATAATTACACTACAATACTAATTCTAACTACACAAAATTATACAAATTAAATACATGAATCATATAAACTACATTAATTTATACAATTTGTATACACATACACAAATTTTAATACACGAATAAACTGCACCTAAATTATTAAACTACAATACTAATTCTAACTGCACAAAATGACACAAATTAAATACATAAATCATAAAAACTACATTAATCCATACAATTTGTATACACATACACAAATTTCAAAAGCCAAATATACTGTACTGGCATAATTAAATACAAAACTAACTGCACAAAATGATACAAATTAAATACATTAATCATATGAACTACTTTAATTTATACAAATTTACACATACACAAACTTCAAAAGCCAAATAAACTGTACTGGCATAATTAAATACTAAGCTAATACTAACTGTATAAAATGATACAAATTATATACATGAATCATATAAACTACATTAATTCACACAAATTTACACATACACAAACTTCAAAAGCCAAATATACTGTACTGGCATAATTAAATACAAAACTAACTGCACAAAATGATACAAATTAAATACATTAATCATATGAACTACTTTAATTCATACAAATTTAAACATACATAAGTTCCAGAAGCCAAATGAACTATATTGAAATAATTAAATATAAAACTAATACTAACTGTACAAAATGATACAAATTAAATACATGAGTCATATGAACTACATTCATTCACACAAATTTACACATACACAAATTTAAAAACTCAAATAAACTGCACTTGAATAATTAAACTATTACTAACTACACTTTACAATTTTTAATAGAATTAAAAAATATATTATTAATCTCTAATATTAGTATTCGTACATTAATGCCATTGGATTTCAATTTTGATTCCAGAGACATACATGTTGTACTGATAATCATTAAAATTTAATATCATTTGATTTTAATTGATGTACGTAAAATAGAAATTACTACGAAATTTAATAATTAAATATTTTTAAATCATAATCATAATCCTTTAATAATAGAAAAAGTAATTAATGTACTTGTATACGTAATATAAACAGTCACGAGTGTTTTTATATAAAGAAAAAGAAATCTTTATTTTATTTTTATACAATTTAGAATGGCAAACAAGCTGACGGCCCACCTGATGGAAAGTGGTAACCGTCGCCTATAGACATGAGCAGTACCATGGACATAACAGAGTACACTGTTTCGCCCATGATACTATAACAATACAACGATCTTTTACTATAACAATACAAATAAACAAAAAAAAAAAATCAATTGACAGACAAGACAGTAATACAAAACAAAATAACACTGAACAATTTTCACAATTTAACATTTTATGATCTTCTCTTAAATATTTTCTATCTAATCTAGCGATGTATCTAACTCTTATTGTGTAAATAAACGTTTTATCTCGTTACAGATTTGACTTGTATTTATTTGTGTAGATTTTGAATTGAATTTGTAAGTAGTGTTATAACCGGGAGAGTCTTCCAATCCAATGGTTACGACACTACAACAATGTGAGGTCTTGTATTTTTCGTATTTAGGTATACTCGTTATTTGTGTGTGTACGTGGATTTCAGCAACGGTGAATAACGTTTTTCTCGCTTGCCTATTAACCTGGTCCTCCTGTCTTTCCTCTCCTTCGGGGTCTCTCTTCTCGGGCCATCGAATCCTGCATGACGAACCGTTATTACAATATACCCTCCACGACGATCTCGCTGTGCATCTATCGTTAAACCATCATTGTTCACAATATTATCTAATTTGAAAACATTCTAAAACCCATAAACGATGGACGCATGGAGCGTACTGTTAGATAAGTTAACGTAACCGGCACAGGTCGCCCTGTCCCACATGTAAACTTGTTCTAAACGGCGATGAATTATAGAATGCGATCCGGACGAACCTGTCACTGCACAAATGTTTCGTGCGCTACGAGGACGACTTCGGCTCGTTCTGGATGGTGGACGACGCGGAGTTCGTGAAGAGACGCCACCTGAGCCGCGGCCGGCCGCGCAAGTACGAGCCCGCGCCCGGCGCCAGCGCCCCGCCGCCACAGTAAGGCGCCGCGCAACCGCGCAACCGCGCAACCGCGCTCAGACCGTCCAACGAATCTTTCACCTCTCACACTTCGCGCCACGATTGTGCACTATACGCCCTCAACTATTACAAAAACAAAACTATAACCTTACCACCATTGCATTGCCACTTGTAATAGCGAAGTCAAATATAGTGCTATCTTGGACGCTGAAACGTTTGAAAGAGCGGAAATCATATCGTTATATGTATATTTCCCGAATATTATTTTAGGTTTCTTATATGATTATTGTAAGCAGTAATAACTTATATATTAAAACAAACAATTATATAAACGAGAATCGTTGGACGATCGTGTCCAAAATAGAGTTTTGTATGTAAATGATATAAAAGTAACCTGAAATTATCATTTTTTTTTTTACTTTTTGATAATTTTAGGTTTTATATATTAGATCGATGTTTCTGACATTATGTAAAGTGTATCACTGTGAAAGTTTAGATTAATTAAACTGTCATGTTAGAATGTAACTAGAACACGTGATTGTTCCGATATAATTATAGTTGTCATGAACTGGTGACTGCTTAGACTATAAATTGTTGGAGATAAATTCCAAATATATCGTCTATACATAAACTAAGCATCCATCGGTATCATGGACTCTTAGAGTGCAAAGCTATAACCGATTGTTTTGCTATATAGTTTTTAACATCATAATATAATATATTACTTGTTTAAAATTAGCTTAATTCATATGTTGCTAATGTAATTTCCAATATTTTCTTTTGATTTGTATTTGATGATACTCCTTAAGGCGCTCCAAAGTAAAAAAGTTAAGTGAAAATGTTTACTTGATACGATATGCATGTATTTGAAACATATTATTTGTAAACGAGGATCGTCGTTGGATTCCCCAAGTAAGATTAATGAGATCTTTTAACATTTTAATCCCTTTAACTTTTGCATGTGCTCGTATCATCTCGATTTTCTAATATTTCAGGTAAGTATGTCGCTTTATTGGCTTTGCATGTGCATTTTTGTCGCATGGTAAATGTATTTTTTCTTAAATTTATCATTAAGCTTGCTTTTTTATACTATTTTATTCTATTTATCTTTCTCTTTCACACACACGCACACACACACACACATCTCATTGCACACGTATCACATACAAAACAGACAAATTGGACTATTTTATTCAAAATTTAACACTCCACAATTTACACTTTCACAAAAAAAAAGAACGTTTTGCTAGAAAATTTTAAAGATGGTGTTTTACCATTACTTTAGAAGAGGTCTGAAATGGCCGGGGTATGATTTTTATTTATTATTTATTTTCATTAAGACAATAATAAAAATCCATTTTCATTCATATATTATTTACAAATTATATTAATTTTTACAAAAAAAAAAAATTGGATAATAGTTGAGATTAAAAAGAATAAAGTTGTTAAATTCTTTAGCAAGGAAAATAACGAGAATTTACAATTGCCTTCTTATTCAACAGGTTCATGGGAGCCCAAAGTCCTCCAATGATGACAAGTCCGCATGGTTATAGCGAAGCACTGAAACGAAATCTTCAGGTATAGTTTACACTATAACAATTTTTTTTTAATTTCAACCGTTCACTGCCACTGCTGCACATAAGCCTTCCCCATAAAGGGTGTTTTGGCAGGAGTTGCCACGTTTGACAGGCGGGTTGGCAACCGCAACTATAACAAATATGCCTAGAATTAAATCGACTATCTTTAAAAATCCTGTGGAAATTAATTGACAAATTTACTACTAATTGCCAACTGGTTTAATTATTAGAGAGGAAAACTGTTTTTTTTTTAAATTTATTTGTATTGATGATGTTTTAATAAATTTTTATTATTTTTATACATTTAAGTGACTCTAAATCTATTTAGTTTCGAAAATTAATAATTTCAGCGATTACTAATAAAATAGCTTTATCACATATTCCTATATATATAAACTTATTATTAATCCTAACATTTTTTTTCATCTACCCACTTATTTAAAATATTGTTTTTTTTTCCGTTAGGGTATGATGGAAGACTGCAATTTGTCGTACATGTCTGGTGAAGATCATATGATGCAAACTGACGAGTATCCGTCATCGCACGACGATTACAGGTACTTAATTTTTTTTTAATGGCAACACTAACTTGAATTGTTATTTTTACTACTATGGCGACATAGACCCGTCTGATGGTAAATGGGGTTTTTTTTAATGGGTGATAATGGAATGGTAACCCCGTCTGCGCTATCGGGATACGCTGGCGGAGCACCAGTGAAGAATGATAGGTGAGGATGAAGCAGGTCAGTTGGACCATGGGACCAATTTAACAAGAATTGTTCACGATGGTTTCTAGGGGGAACCACGTGGAGGTCGACCTAATAGGGCATATTGCTAGCAATGGGGCTGTCAAACTCCATTGCTAACAATCACTTTCCCCCCGGTAAATGGGGTTATCATAGCCTATATACGCCTGTAGCATCAGGAAAGTCTCGAGCGCGTTGCCGACCCTTAAGAAACTCTAAAACGCCCTTTGAAGAACTCCATGCTATAGACTAGGAAAAGCCTCGGCTATTATTCCATAACTTGAGTGTTTTTGGAAGATGTTAAAGTTCAGTATACAACTTATGATAAATAGAATTAAAAAGGAAAAGAAAGCTAGCAGGAAGTGCTTTTTTATGTTGCAAAAAGTTTGTGACTTCAGGGAACTAAACATATTGGTTGCTAAAAGAATTCACTTTGGGGAAAGTTGTTTAGTTTTGTGAATACCATCCCTAAGTTTTGAATTACGACATTAGAAAAATCATATCATCTCTCTTCTTTATAATCAAGTCGGTTGCTTCTGTACCTCTGTCCTATTCGTGTATCAGCTGTAAAGCAGTTGTGTTTGCACGGCTGTGTTTCGGTTTGAAGGGTGGGATATGGCGTGAATTTACTGGGTACAGAGGATTGACACCTGAGTCGTCAGGAATGGCAACGCATGGGGGTATCATGGATGAAACAGTATACTCTGTTATGTCCATGGTACTGCTCATGTCTATAGGCGACGATTACCACTTTCCATCAGGTGGGCCGTCAGCTTGTTTGCTATTTTAAGTTGTATTAAAAAAAATATTAACAGAGAAAACTTTTTTGCCTTTTTCCTCCAGCCGTCCTCCAATAATGAATGGGTACGGCAGCAGTAGTTCGTCGCACGAGGTGAAAGCGGAAGACCTCAGTGCCTCCGATGCACAGGACATCAAGCCCAACATATACGCGCTCAAGAATGAGATGCAAGCTTCTGATTATTCCAATAAAGGTGATTGAATTTGTTGCAGATTTCGTATGAAAAATATATATCTAATATATAAAATTCTCGTGTCACGGTGTTTGTTACCAAACTCCTCCGAAACGGCTTTACTGATTTTCATGAAATTTTGTGTACATATTCGGTAGGTCTGAGAATCGGCCAACATCTATTTTTTATACCCCTCAATGATAAGGGTGACCGACCCACCCCTAAAAAATATTTTTTTTATTTTTTTGACAATTTTTTTTTATTTTTAGTTTATTTAACTAAAAATAAAAAAAAAAATGATTTAGCATTGATAAATACATACATCTTCTAATTTTCACCCTTTTACGATCAACCTCTGTTTTTTAAGCGCGATTTTTATATTTCGCAATAAGCGGTTAAACAACGTTTACGGGGTCAGCTAGTAATATATAAAAATACACCATCTCACTATTCTATATATCAGGAGTGGCCGACTTGACTAAACCCAAGATCTAGTTATATATAAAATTCTAGCTACAAACTAAGAAGATCTTGTCCTATGGCTAGTACCCATACTGAACTGACATGATGACCGTCATCTCAGCCATTATTTGCCCACTACTGAATATAGGCCTCTCCCATAGACTGCTATAAGGAACGGTCCTGAGCTATTTGCATCCACTGACTTCCTGCAATGCTTTTAAGGTCGTCACTCCACCTAGTGGGGGTCGTGAAGGCACTGGGTTTGCCTGTACGGGGTCGCCATCCAAGACATGATGATATACAGATCTTAATTTCATTTTTGTAAATTCACACATATTATGGTAAATATTTGTGTGAGATTTACGTCGATAAAAGTTTATTTATTAATTTATTTATATGTTTTTGTTCATTTACTTATAAATATATTTCTTAAAGATTTCTTCCAGTTTTAAATGATTATAGTAAGATTTTAATGTAATATTAAATTTCCAGGTGATTACACAAATTCCAACAAGGAGTCGTCAAGCAATAGATCTGGTGAGACGAGCCCCTACGACGACTACCCGCGTTCCGAGGATAGATACCGGGCCTCTATATCACACATCAAGGACGAAGCGGAGAACTTATCCCTCAACGAGCAGAGATCTGACAAATAAACCGGCCGGCACCAGTTCGAACCAGTTAAGTGTCGCTTAAAGTGGTTAAAACCGGTTACTGAATCCGTGTGATTAAATGGTTACGTTCAAAAACGCAAAGTGAGTCGTGATTTTTTTTTTGCGTAATAATATTTAGAGCTATAAGTATCACAGTATGTAATACTTTATATTTACGGGTTTAGATCTTATTCAAGTTGTTTAGAATGGTGTTCTAGAACGTGTAATGTGTTCACTGTTGGACTTTTATATTTAAAAAGGACGAAACGAAAGGAATTGTGTAACTATTAACCAAATATATTTTTTGTTTATTATTATTATTTTTTTTATAAATTCACCCGGTTTTAACGGGGCACTTCGAAGTATTATAGGTTTTACGAGTTTTTATTTTTTATTCGTCTTAATATACTTAGTTTTGGTAGCTGTAATTCAGATATTTGTTAGTGATATATTTATAGTATAAGTGTTAGTGAATTTTAGGCAAAGATACGCAAGTGAACAGCCAACGACGAGTAACCTTAAAAGGTCCATATCAATATTTAAAAATATTTAATCATCTTGTAACATACAAATAGTAAGAACAATAAGTAGTTGTATTAAATTATAATAAAACATAACGGTACATACAAGTTATAACAAACGTTATACGCCTAGCGTTTTATTTGAAGTTTTCGCATTTTTTTTTTTCCTAAACTTTGAATACAACCGACGACCGTTTAATACGACGTGGAATACAAACTTTTCAAATTTGGAACTTGATTTCAAAGATCTCATTTTTGCAATAATCATTACGGGAGAAAAGAATAGTGAATAAAATAAATTTGCTATTTTTTTATAATAATCTTTTTTTTTTTCGTATAGTCGTTATTTTGTGATCGATGTAATAATGATCTGAACGTTTGTGTTTAGAAAAAAAAAATGAAATGGTTATTTTTTATTCGATTTTCGAAAATTAAATCTATAATGTTTATACGTGCCATAAATTATATGGTACGAATTTATTTGATTCCAAGGAATTGTATTTGTTTTTATTTTATTTTTTTATTTTCTTTAGAATAAGAACTAGAATGTAAATATTTATCATGACTATCATGAATTGTAAATTCTTTAAAAAAATAAAGGTAAATTTAGACGCGTGTAAACGTTTACTTAATATAACTATTGCATATTAAATCGTTCATGTTGTAGAAAATTTAGAAGAAACTTAGTGATTAGTAAAAATTTTCACTGTACCTTACTATATCCGATACAGAAATGAAAAAAAAAAACTTTACTTATTTTTTTTTTGTTTCGTGCATTTTCGAATTTTGCATTTATTAAAGAAAAAAATTGTTATATTTAGTGGATATAAAATACACAAATAGGTTTTTTGAATAATGTGAATTTCAATAATCAATATAATTCGAATAATTAAGAAAAGGTGAAAATATCATATCACGGCTATGTATGTATACCTATTATAAATCTATAGATAATAAATTCGATGGGTAATTTAAATGTATGTCGAATTTGCAATAACTTTGATGCTAATGTGTAAAATATTAAATATTTCTTAATACAGAAAGATGTAGAAACAGCTCCATTTTTTACTGTTATTATATATATATTTTTTTATATCTATATTTTTTTAATTCATTTGACAGTTGGTGTTAACGATACTGAAGATCAGGCTGTATGGCTTAGTTCCTTTGCCTTTCCTATTGTGAATAAAACTATTCTTCTGTATTATGTCGTAAATTGTATTTATTTAAGAATGTTTTAATATTATATTTAAATATTTTAAAAAAAATCTCTTAAAAAACTTACAATTCTACAATAAGTATTTAACCATAATGAAAAATAGTAAACGTCGTCTGTATGAGTAAATATAAACAGCACTATTGATATCTCTCTCACAAAATCTAATTTCCATGCTATACACTCTTCTTTCTTTTCCCTCGTCTCTTCCCGTTACGTAGTACCGATTTGATTGCCATGCCTTATGGTTGCCATAAACTATCAATCAAAATAAAATAATAATTAATAACCTTAACTCAGTAATAACTAGATTTCTTCTGAATAGAGATTTTTGAATCTTGCCATTCAGTGATCCTCCGATGAGAGGTTCTACACCAACTGTCAAGTGTATTTATTTACAAATATTTTCAATTTATTATAATTTATTTACATGTATATTATTATAATAATTATCATCAGAAATTAATTAAAAAAACTGACTAAGTACGCCAAATATTTCACTACAGTTGAAACCATGTATACTGTGGTATATGAAACAAAGTTGTTACCACTGATCCATTAGACACTGGGTAACCAACTTAGTTCATTTTCAAAACCGGTATAACACTATCATATATATAGGTGTGATAAAAATAACCAGCATTTATACTATTTATTCGTTAAATCCGCCCAGTATGAAGGCACCAAAATATTTTATTTTTCCCTTTAGATTTACTAGAAAATACTTTCTTATATACCTCGTATTATATATGATAGTGCAATATCAATATACATACATACATATATATATATATATATATATATATATATATATATATATATATATATATATATAATAAAATATAATTTTCATTTTACATTTTCTACTTACATGTTGGGTTACTCTTGAATTAAATTTCAATAAACCGATATTGGAATTAAGACATTTTGCACTCTCGAATTGTAATACTAGCGACATAATGGTTCCATATTGTTCTGATAGAGTGCATATTAGTGTAACTTGTCAATGCAAACTATTGTAAACGGATCCCAATTATAACCTAATTCCTAACTGTTGTTTCATGAGTGTAGTACAAAATTGTCATTGGCAATAGATTGGTTTGATATCAATATTAGATTCAAGAGTAGACCTGCTGATCACAATTACAATAGATCATTGAATTAAAACTAGTAAATATTTTTGTTTAAATCGCTCAATTTTTATTTACATAATTAGTTGGTTATCTACTCAGAATAATGACAGTAGAAATAATTTAATGAGATATTAATTATGCCAGAAAAAGCTAGAAACATGTATTCCTTTTCAATAGTCTGGCATTTCTAGTTACAGAGTTTTTTTTTTAAGTGACTGTACTTATCGATCCATAAAGAGCATCGATCGTGATTTATTTCATTACACCGACCAAGTACAACAATAAAATATATGTTTTAACTTCCTTCTTACTTACAATAGGAAAATAATTAAAAAAAAACTCGACTGCCTGAATCAGGTAACTATCGACGTATTTAAATACAAAGTCAAGATAAAAAATGGCGGCTGTTTTCGGCCATATTTGTTTTGTAAAATAATTTAAAGTTATTCTCTGACAATAAAATCAAACCGTTGATGTTACATATACAAATATGTACCGATAGCAATACTATATCTGCAATCTAGACAGTTCGATAACATAGTTTTTATGTGTATTGTGTATTATGTGTATTATTTTACGTGTATCCAACACATACATACACTCACACGATCCATTAAAAGCAGTCAGGTTAAAATGTTCAAAGGATTATATTTGTATTATGGAATTGATTAATTGTTATTAATTAATGTATGATTTTATTTTACCGATTAGCGGTTTCTCGCTGTATGGTGTTTCGGCTCGGGTCTGCGTTGTCTCCCAAATGGGAGTGAGTGAGAGCTCGTTGATATGTGGTGAGTGCAAGTGAGATGCCCTATTTGGGAGACATCTCAAGACCCACGAATGTTGACGCCCAAACTGGGCCACGAATACATTTATTGATCATTGTAAATTATACTTAATTAGTGTTGTATTAAACCAAATCATTACAATTAATGTATTGTTTTATTTTATGTGTACTGTGTAGTTGTGTATTAAGGAATTACTGTGTTACTTTTACCGCCCCTTTTCATAACCAGGTTGTTGAAAAATCAAATTTTTTTAACGCTACTTAGAATTCTAAAAACAAGTTAACGGCTTTCATACCGTTGTCTATAGATATGACCATATCATGGATCATCAGAGGGAGACTTTGTACAAAAGTCGATTGCTTGGGTACCTCTGTCCCATTTGTGTTTCAACCGTAAAGCAGTTGTGTTTGCATGGCTGTGTTTCTGTTTGAAGGGTGGGATATGGCGTGAATTTACAGGTTACAGAGGAATAACATCTGAGTCCTCAGGAATGGGATCGCATGGGAGGTATCATGGGCGAAACAGTATACTCTGTAATGTCCATGGTACTGCTCATGTCTATAGGCGATGGTTACCACTTTCCATCAGGTGGGTCGTCAGCTTGTTTGCTATTCTAAGTTGCATAAAAAAAGTCCCTATTAAAACAACCCTAAAGCCTAACTGCGGTTGCCAATCCGCCTGCCAAGCGTGGCAACTACTGGCAAAACCCCCTAGGGAGAGGCTTATGTTGAGCAGTGGACGGTTAAAAGCTGATATGATGACGATGATGAATTTGTAATTATAGTCTTTCAGACGGTTTACAACTAACTTAACGAACATTAAAAAAAATACAACCAAATTAAAAAACCTCCTTTCTGGTGATGGTTGAAGAAACTCTATCACCATACGAATAGACTTTTGTACTAGACATTTTTTTGTAATATGTTCATTAAAGAATAAATAAATAGATAGTTTAACACCTACCTATTTATTTTTACAACGTCTACAAATACAATACATATGGCACGGGAAATATAATACCTCTACTATAATTCGATATATATATATAAGTACCTACATCCGTCGTGTATTTTAAAAATATCCGCGTATATACGACTCATCATTCGACGGATACGATGCGTGGATGCATTGTTTTATTTGTTACATGTGAAGATGTAATTAATCGATGTTAGTATGGATGCGCGTGCGCGGCAAATGTGATGCGCCGTTGCATGACTCATATTATGACATTATTTATTATGAAATTAGAAAAAAATATAATTTAAGATCGTTGTCCGTTAACAGAAACGGTAACATTGATCGTAAATACTTACTAATATTGTAAATGTGTAACTTTTTTTTTAATGGATGATAATGGTATGGTAACCCCACCCGCGCTATCGGTTTACACCGGCGGGGCTCCAGTGAAGGATGATAGATGAGGATGAAGTAGGTCAGTTAGCCTATCGTGACGAATTCGACAAGAATTGTTCACGATGGTTTCCAGGGGGAACCACGTGGAGGTCGACCTAATAGGGCATATTGCTAGAAATGGGGCTGTCAAACACCATTGCTAACAATACCTTTCCCCCCAAATGTGTAACTGAGTTTGTTTATTACATCATAGTAGCTTAAAGGGATCAACCAATCAATAAGAAATTTTGTATAAATGTACTACTCGTACATGGATTGGACAAGGACTTAAGACTATTTTTTATCCTGGTTAATGAACATATCCCCGTCACACGAATGAAGTCGCGGACAAACCCTAGTTATGAATAAAAACTGCTTGAAGTAAATATTGCATAATTCTAAAATACTGTTCAAAATATTTTTTTTTATATCAACTGTTCACTGCTGAACGTAAGCCTCCCTCTCGGGGCGTTTTGCCTATAGTTGCCACGCTTGGCAGGCGAGTTGGCAACCGCAGTTAGATTTTGGAGATGTTTCAAAAGGAACGCTGTTGCCCATTACTCGTCCTCCCATAGTCAACTCTTACGACACGAGAAAGGAAGGGGTGGCCGGGGTCACACGGCTAGGCTTACTAGTTTCCATCAGGTAGGCCGTCAGCTTGTTTGCCATTCTAAATTGCATAAGAAAATATAGATATTAAACCTATTTTTTATGCCTAACCTATTTTTTTACCAGAGGGAGACTTTGTACAAAAGTCGATTGCTTGGGTACCTCTGTCCCATTCGTGTTTCAACCGTGAAGCAGTTGTGTTTGCATGGCTGTGTTTCGGTTTGAAGAGTGGGATATGGCGTGAATTTACTGGGTACAGAGGAATAACACCTGAGTCCTCAGGAATGGCAGCGCATGGGGGGTATCATGGGCGAAACAGTATACTCTGTTATGTCCATGGTACTGCTCATGTCTATAGGCGACGGTTACCACTTTCCATCAGGTGGGCCGTCAGCTTGTTTGCCATTCTAAGTTGTATAAAAAAAAAAAAAAATGCAACTTAGAATTACAAACAAGCGATTACAATTATTTTGGAGTTCGCTTGGAAAAAATAGTAAAGATATTAGTATGGGACAGATATAGGGATAAAGGGGGGAAAGGGATTGTTAGTAATGGAGATTGAGAATCCCATTGCTAGCAATATACACAACCCGGTCGACCTCCTCGCGGTTCCCCCTGGAAACTATCATGGTTAATTCCTGATGAATTTATCATGATGTCCTAACTGGCCTGTTGTCATTCTAATCTATCACCCTTCACTGGTGCTCCGCCAGCGTATCCCGTTAGCGCAGGCGGGGTTACCGTTACCATATCGTTTTCACCCATAACAAAAATTATAGGGATAAACGCCATCATCGGTACAGAATTGGTGTATATATAAATAAATAAAAAAAAAATGCATAACATTTACATATAAGAATTAAGGTTGCCTGAAAGAGATCGCTATTTAGCGATAAGGTCGCCCGTTGTTGCCTCTTTATCTCGCTTTCATGTAATTAAGTTTATATCATTAATTATTCATTTTGTTTGAGTAAATATTGTTAATCTTTATTATCTACATCGTTCTTTGAAAGGAAGAATCTTAGATTATATAGATAGAGCATCGAGCCTCAAAAATGGGTCAACTTTTTGTCAGCTAATTGTCAAATTAGCTTGTCAATTGTCAAACCCGCCTGCGCTATCGGTATACGCTGGCGGGGCACCCAATGAGTAAGCAGGTCAGTTAGCCCATCGTAACGAATTCCACTAGAATTAACCACGATGATTTCCAGGGGGAACCCCGTGGACATCGACCTGATAGGGTATATTACTAGCAATGGGTTCATTAGACCCCATTACAAACAATCCCTTTCTCCCAGGTGAGATCTTAGGTGAATTAAGAAGTTACAAGTTCTTCTTGAAGGCTCTTAAAAATCGTTTCATATTCCTCTTATAAAACTAATTCAGTATTTATTTGCAGAAAGAAAAGAATAAAGCTAATGGATGTTTTGTTTTTGGATTTATTACATAAAAAATATAACAGAAAAAAAAAACATTTATATAAAAGGAACCGATATTATTACAACGGCATGCTGTAATATCGATAAGACACAACACTACGCCGCCGTGAAGCGCGCGCTAGGTTGATTTATGACAAGAAACAAGTGCACTAGTGATGTAATTTTTAGGTATATGTATTTATATCGATTGTTATTTTTTTTAGTATTATTTCAGCCGTTACCTGTCCACTGTTACCCACATATGCCTTCCTCATAAAAGGAGTCTTGCCAGTAGTTGCCACGCTTGGCGAATGAGTTAACAACTGCAGTTAGATTTACATTAACAACCAAAAAATCATTTCTCTTTCTAATATTACTTTACTTAGAAAAAGTAAAAAACTTTATTATTAAAAAAGTTCACTGTTCGCTCTTATTACATATATTTATAGTTTATCATCATCTTCCTAACCTTGTCCTAATTATTTTATTTGGGGTCTAATTATTTATATCCTAATTATTTTATTATTATTTGGGGTCGGCGTAATATGGTTTTATCCATATTACTAAAGGATTTAGCTTATAATTTTACGACCAGCTGCCTGCCTGACGTCAACTCTCTTTGGGAATGCATTTGTTGGTGGTTTCCGCCACCTACGGTATGGAGGAAAGGATTGAGGAAAAAAGGAAGGGAATGTTGAAAATGCGTAAAGGAAACTAGTAAATGAGAGGAATAAAGGACTTATGTGGGAAAGGAAAGGGAAGGACACTGCAGTGCGGGAAAGACTGGGACACTGCAGCGGCTCGGGGCGAGAGGCCGCCTCCCTTTATGCCCTTATTCTAGAATCGGACAGATTTCTAGAGAAGAACACCCCTTACATATATTTATAGTTTATAATAAATAAATAATATAACAAATATATATGTACATACATACATACATACATATCTGTCACGCCCTTTACTTTTAATTTTTAAATATATATATATATATTCTTATAGCTGAAATAAATAAATTTATATATGTTTAGTTAGCATATTTTTTTTATACTTAAATAACAACTATTTATCGATAAACAGTCTATCGACTTATCGCTAACACTTTATCGGTTACTGACATGTGGCTCTTAATTACAAGTCAACTGGTACGCAACTACAAAACCGCTGAACCGACAAAAAAAATCTAAAATAACTGTATTTTTAATCCCGATCTGGTTACTGAACTTTTAAAAAAAAAAAAACGACGCGCACATGTCTACGAATGGGTTAAGATTTTTTTCCAACACAAAAGTGTCATTTCGATTCGAAACGAGAGTTTAGGGGTTAATTTAGTATTTTTGTGAGTTTCAGTCGTGATATTTTAATATTTTTTGTTGAAAACGTAATGAGTAATGGGACATGTGGAAATAGTTTCGACACTACCTACAGGAACACGTGGGAAAGTTGGGCTGATGCGTTGCGTCTAGAATAGTGATGGCAGGCTTATGACACTGTGCATCTAATATTAGATGGTGAACAAACAATAACATGATATCCCTATATGGTTTTATGTGGTTGGAAGCACAATATAAATTTTCCGGAGAGAATGAATTACTAGTACCGCATTCGAGTATTCTGACACTTCCCTATGGTTGACTGAGAGAGAATGCTTTTAGCATTAAGTCCGCCATGTACACATATATGTACTAATGAATAAATAAATAAATACATAAATGTATTTTGTTTGCTA